GAACGAACAACCGAATCAATGAACCCCCCGCCCTGGGCCTAGGCTGAAGTGATATACCGGCCTAGGTCCAGGTGCGGAACAACCTGGTACCGGACCAGGGTCAGGCCGACGGCCTGAAACTGGTCCGGCCTCACTGCCGGGCCGTAGGGGTACCGCTACACGATCCTCGGACCTGTGAATGGATCAAGCGATACATCAAACACGCTATCCGCTGGAATAGCGGAACCCAAAAGGACGACAAAAGGAACAATGCTAGATGCGGAGCAGGCTCCATGCAGGAAAAGGAATGCAATGCAGACTAAGCCTCAAGCCAATCTATACCATAATGTCTGGTCTGTGTCGACCCAAAAAGTAGAAAAATGTCTGACCTGTGTCGGCCAAGAAAGAGAAAAATGTCTGACCTGTGTCGGCCAAGAAAGAGAAAAATGTCTCATGAGCCAAATAGGCTGAATATAAATCAACACTGGGGCCCTAAAGGCCAAAGAATAACTAAACCACTGTCCTAAGTCGAAAACGAATGTGGCACAGTCTCACGTGCTCTGTAAACAATGCACAATACTTGAAGAAAATAGAAAGGAACTCAGTCGCATGGCAGAAGCAGGAACGGGTGGGAAGGCGGCAGGTACAACTCTCAGAGTAAAATCCAAGGGGGCACCCACACAACCAGGTAAGGGGTCATCAGGCTCAGAGGGGGAGTAACAGCACGACACCGGGCTCAATGGAAACCATCAAACAGGTACCGCCAGCTGAGAGAGGGGAAAGGACACTCACACAGGGGAGCACGCATAAGGTGAGCCTGGAAGGAAAGAGAGGGCCATGCCGGCATAGACATGTGGCCAAAAGTCGCGAGCAAAGAAAACGTACACTCCAGAGGAGGACGCGCAGCATAAGGTAAGGCAGAAGGGCGGCAAGCGGACACACCCACATAGACAGGGAAAATAGGGGTCATCATGCGACTGAAGGGTAAGCTCGAGGGTGGTGGATAGGTGGGAATGATGGGAACTATGTAACCGAAAAGGGTGAAGTAGTCCAACTAATGAGTCTCCAGACTAAAGTCGAACCGAAGTAGTCTGGATTAAGTAGAGGCACTGCAAGAACCGAGTAGAAGTCCGGAACACAACGACAGGTACTCTGGTACTGAGGAGAAGCACTGAGGTCGAAAGTCGAATGTGGAAGCCGAAGTAGAAGCCGAATGTAGAAGCCGAATGTAGAAGCTGAATGTAGAAGCTGAATGTGGAAGCCGAATGTAGAAGCTGAAACCGGGAGCTGCTGCGTAAGTGTCCAGGAATGGTAAAAGATAGAGAGCGTATGGGGGATATAGATCAGTCACGAAAACGAGAAGGAAGTCGATGGGTACGCTGAGGGCGAGAGGAATGAACTGCAACAACAGGCGGAACCACATCCACAGGGGAAGGAGGACCTGAGGTAGGTACCGGTGGAGCAGGAGGACCCATCGATGGAGGAGGGGGAATGTTAGTGGTCGCAGAGGTAGAAGGGTCAGTAGTAGAAGGACGAGAAGTAAGGGGGGAGGATGATGAAGGGAAAGGATGAGCACGATCGTAAGCACGCACGGAAGTCATAGCGTGCTTCAGGTGCTCAAGAGGCTCCCAAGTAGACTCCTCGTCAGGGTAACCCTTCCATCGAACGAGATACTCGAGGCGGGGAGGGTCGCCATCAGTCATACACCGGGACACAATATCAGAGACGACAAACTCCTCGTGACCCTCAATGATGATGGGAGAGGGGCGAGGGTAAGGTCGACCGTGGAACTCGGGGGGAGACCGTCTGAAGGGGCGCAAAAGAGATACATGGAACACATCATGTAAGTTAGCGCGGTACATGGAATCGGGGAGCTTCAATTTGAAGCTCACCGGACAATCATGATTGAGTCCGGCAGGTGCAAGAATGGTGCATGGTCCAATATAGCGACGTTTGAATTTCCGAAGTGTGTCAGTTTCGGGCTGGAAGTGACGTGCGTCGACGAGAACCTCGTCGCCAACTTTGAAGGGATGGTCGATGCGAGAGCGGTTTGCGCGAGTGGCCATGCGAGTCTGGGAGTGGGCAATGCTCTCACGAGCCTTGCTAAGAAGCGCATCCATCTCCTTTACCCAGTCATCGAGGGCAGGGCATTTGGTGTCGGGATGGATCTGAGATGGACGAAGTAGGTCAGATGGAACACGAGGATGGTATCCCAATTCATAGTAGTAGGGAGACATATCAGTGGCAGGAGAAATAGCATGGTTATAAGCAATCTCTGCGTGAGCAAGATGCAGACCCCAATCAGAGTCATTCTCAACAAACTTCTTGAGGATACTCCCAAGAGTTTTGTTGGTGACCTCGGTCTGTCCATCTGACTGGGGGTGATAGGAGTAAGAGAGGCGGAGCTCGGAGCCATAAATCTCATGAAGTTCATGCCAGAAATGAGATGTAAAGCGGGGATCGCGATCAGAGACGATGCTAGTGGGAAGACCGTGATGGATGGCRATACGGTTGAAGTATAGGGAGGCGATGTCTTTGGCTGAGCTAGCATACTTGCATGGGAGGAAGTGAGCATGCTTAGTCAACCGACAGACAACGACGAAGATGGCGTCATGGCCTCGTGGGGTAGGGGGACGAAGAGGGCCAATGAAGTCCATGGAGACAGAAGTCCAACGCTGAGTAGGAATGGGTAAGGGCTGGAGAAGACCATAGGGGGGGTGGTTGGGAATGTTGGCAGGGTGGATGGTGGGAGCTGAGATAGCAGATAGCTGACGATCCTCGCACTGAGGGTCGGGGCGGAGGGATAAGGCATCTGCTACGCGACTGCTTTCGCCTGAAATCTTCTTGATGGTGAAATCGAACTCGGAGAGGTCACGCCACCAACGAGCCTGACGAGAAGTGAGCTTAGGCTTCGTTTGGAAGGCGGCGAGGACAGAGTTGTCCGTCAAAACTGTGAACGTATGACCGTGCAAATGATGACGCCACTTCTTAACAGCGTAGACCAGCGCAAGGACCTCACGCTCGTCGGCAGTATAGTTACGCTCAGCAGGAAGTAGCTGTCGAGATAGATAAGCAACCGAACACTCTCCATCGTGAGACTCGACTGTACCGTCATCAGCGACGTCAGGAATATAAGGGGGTGGAGCCCCTGGGGGGGTGGACTCGATGGGTGCAAGATGAGCCGCGGTCGCTGGAGGTGGAGGAGGGAAGCGAGGAATGTGAGGGAGGCGGGACTCTGTGGAATCAGGAGAAGTAGAGGGGGTTGGGTAGATCTGGGAGAGAACAACTCCAATAGCGAAGTCAGATGCGTCGGTGGTGACGATGAATGGGCGCGACTAGTCGGGTAAGTGTAAGACAAGAGCTGACGTGACAAGTCGGTTGAGAGAGCAAAAAGCATCCTCGTGAGCCGGGGTCCAATGAAAAGGTAGACGTCCGCGGGTTAGAGGGGTAAGTTGGGAAGAATACTGCGCATAGTTTTTAAGAAAATGACCATAGTAGTTGGTCAACCTAAGGAAACTATGCAGCGCAGGAAGAGAGGTAGGAATGGGCCAGTCGACAATGGCCTGAATCTTCGAGTCGTCCATGTGGAGTCCGTGGTCGGAGACCTGGTGCCCAAGGAAGTCGACTTTGGGTTGGGCGAAGTGACATTTGGAGAGCTTCGCATAAAACCCATGGTCGCGTAATCGTTGGAGGACAATGCAAAGGCGGGTCAGATGCTCCTCTAAGGTACGACTGTAGACCAGAATGTCGTCGATGTAGACTAGAACCGAGTCCTCAAGAAGGTCTTGGAACATCGTGTTCATAGCCGTCTGGAAGGTGGCAGGGGCATTACGGAGACCGAAAGGCATGACGGTAAACTCGTAGTGCCCAAAACGAGAACGGAAAGCGGTCTTAGGCTGGTCCTCCTCGGCTACGCGGATCTGGTGATATCCGCTACGAAGATCGATCTTCGTGAAAAAGTGGTGGCCGGAGAGGCGATCGAACAGAGAATCCGCACGGGGCATAGGATAAATGTTTCTGACCGTATATTCGTTGAGACCGCGGTAATCGAGGCAGAGGCGGAGAGTGTCATCCTTCTTGCGATCAAAGAGGACAGGTGCACTCCATGGGGACGTACTCGGTTTAATGAAGCCCTGCTGAAGCAGCTTGTCAATTTAGCGTTTAAGTTTCTGGGCTTCGGGAACCGAGAGGCAATATGGGGCGCGATGCTGAATACGGTAGTTAGGTTCGAGCCGGATGTGGTGCTCGATATCGCGCATAGGAGGGATGCTGCTGTAAGAGACAGTCGGAGGAAAAACATCGCGATACTCGCGAAGGAGGGCCGCAACGCTAGGCTGCAAAGTCGATAGGAGGTTGTCAAACTCCTCGGCTGCAGCGGCGTCTGAAGCAGGGGTGGAAGGAGTCAGTATGGGAATAGGTACCGATGGCGCCTCCGTGGTACAAGATGCAAGAAGGTGAGATGGGGTAGCAGGGGTGAAGGGGGATGAGGGGGCCGAAGGATAAGGAGGCTCGAGGGGCTCAGGGGGTGGTGGGTCGAGCTCGACCAACTTAGTGTCCTGATGCATAGAGTTTCAGGCAAGGAGATCCATGGTGTCGACAATGTAGAGTTCGGCATCAGGCTGACGAAGGATGTGGTGGAACCGAGTTGGTGTCAAGATGGCGACATTAACAGGGGGGGGGAGTGTAGAGTCCGATTTGCCCAACAACGGAATACGGTATTGTTTCCCATCCTTGGCGTCGAGGACGAGATAGTTGTGGGTCCACTCGGGGCCGGCATGAGCGAATTGATGGGAATAGGCAGTGCCAAGAACAAGATCATATAGGGTTTCCATGACATCGAAGGTCCACTTGTCATGGAACCGAGGGGCCTTGTGAAGGCTGTGGGGCATCCGCAGGGGGAAGGAGAATGGAAGATCAGGCACCACCGAATCGACGAAGGATTTGGCCTGATTGTCGCCAGGCGTGACAGTGACAGTGGAAGGGTAGGGGGATGTATATAGGGATGCCTCCTTAACTACGCGAGGATAAATGAAGTCGCCAGTAGCGCCAGAGTCCCACAGTGCGCGATACACTCTAGTAGAGGTCTCGAGGCGCACCGAAATAACCGGTAAGGTGCGATCGGGATTGTGTAGGCGCTGAGACATCGCGGCCAGGGTGCGCTCTTGAAGGCGGAGACGTTCATGGTGGACCTTAACACACTCAAGGTCCAGGAAGTCGATGATATCCTCAGCTGCAACAAGGGAAGCACTGCAGCGCACCGTGCGAAGAGCACGCCTAGTAGGAGGACGAGGAGGAGGAGGATCATGAGAGACGCTAGGCGAAGAAGTGGAGGCACTGGAGGGTGGGCCAGCGATGCTAGAAGCGACCTACGATGAAGTCAGGTCCGAGTCCTCAGAAAGAGTAGCAAGCAGCGCGAAGGTAGAATCGCGGGCGGGTATGCTTGCTACTGTGGGAGGATCAGGGGAGCGGGAGATCACCGGTAGGTGGCTGCGGAGCTGGAGGTCGAGGCGGGGGGGTCAGGCTGAGGGCGGGACTGCTGAGCAAAGTGACGCTGGAGGGCGTCGGCGTAGGGGCAGGTGGACGGAGTGTGACTAGGTAGGCGACAACGGGTACATATACCTCGTGCACGGAAGTCCTCACTCTCCGCGATAGTCAATCGGGCGCGGGGGAAGGCGTAACCCGATGGGAGGGGCAGCTGTGTGGTAGAAGAGCGGGTCCTCGATAAGGAGGGCTGACGCTGCCTCAGGAAAGCAGAGAAGGCGCGGGCGAGGTGCTTGTCCTGGTCGGGGTCATCGCCATCCACAAGGGACTGGGGGTCAAGTTCTTGGTCGGGTCGCTATGGGATCCGTCCGAACCAGTACCCTCCTCAGCTCTCGACGACTCGCGGAGCATAGTCTGGACACGGCGGAAGAAGGCACGTCCAGGAACTCGGCGGGGACCGCGGCGAGATGTGGAGAACTGGCGGGGGCGAGATGTGCCGGGGGAAGACGATGAAGCGGAAGGTGCGGCACCAGGCCCAAATGTGGAGCCCACAAGAGGTGCATAGGTGAGCTGGATGGCCCGGGCAATGTTGAAGGCCTCGGGGAGGGTATGGACCGTGTATGCTAGCATCTGAAGCTGGAAGGGTTGGGGTAACCCGGCATGGAAACGCTGGACCAAAGCGTCGTCGGCCATGAGGGAGGGGGGGATCTGGGCGCGAACGTGGTGGAATGCTGTGATGTACAACTCTAAGGCATTGTTGCCACCAAGCCATCTGATCTCAGCGATCCGTGTGATCGGGTCACGGGTAGGCGTCGGGCGAGAGAAGTACTACTGGAGAAAATCACGAAACTCCGCGTACGTCATACTCGCGTGAACGCTCTGCTGAGTACGAAGGGCGAGAAAGTCGCGCCAAATGGAAGCCGCTTGACCGATGAAGCGGGCAGACATCTCCGTAGGCGACAAGTCCATGTTTACCCCATGGTACCGAAGTTGCTCCTCGACTGTGGTGATCCAGCCCTAGAGTTCAGAGGCCTTACCATCGAACTGGGGGACTCTGTCGGGGTGGTACCGAGGTACATAAGGTGGGGGCTGGTAATGAGGAGGGAGGGGGAGGGCACACTGTGACAAGAGGACAGAAGAAGTAGTGGCACCCACAGAACCACTAGAAAGAGCGGGGAGCCGGGGCAACGGTCCCTGACACATCGTTGTGGCTGGTGGTGGGAGTGTGAAATGCATCGCAGCGGCGTATGTCTGATGTTGTTGGTAGATGAAAGGGGCAGCAGGCTGTGCCGCGAGGTGGGGAGGTAGGGGTTGACCTCCTTGGATTAGGCGGATGTGATCATGGGCCAGGGTGAGCTGGCGTTGGAGCTCGGCATTCTGTGTCCTGGGTGTAAGGGGGGGTGGGCGGGGGGGGAAGAAGCGGGGGGTGATGAGGGAGGTGCCATGGAGACTATCGTCGAGGAGGTGGCGGGACATGATGCCATGGGTCTTGAGGAGGGAGGTGCAGGGGTAGACACCTGAGAGGAAGAGATGGCTGTAGAGGAAGGGTGGGGATGGAATGAGGACATGCAGCCAGTGGAAGAGTCAAGTGTGTAGATGACGCCTGCCGAAGAAGGAGAGGAAGCTGGCAAAGATGAGGGGGGTGGGGGAGGGGATGCACTGGTAGGGGGCTCCAACTGTGACACGCGGGCGGACAGGGATGAAAAGTCGGTATGGAGGGCCGTGATTTTGGCCTCGAGTGTGGCCTGCATGCGGTGGAGGAGGTCCACTATGGGATCCGACTGGGAAGCTGGACCCGAATTGGTTGCCATAGGGATGGCCATTGGGTCGGATGTAGGCTCGTGAGCTAGGAACGCAAGTCCTTCGCTGGTGGAGCGGGAGGGGCTC